AGCATTGAGCAAGCAATGTAGGCAACATCGTGGCTTAATGGCGCGATGAACCGTAGTTTGGTCCGATCATCCAAACTATGGTGGGCTGAGGGCAKGACTATAACCCACCTGTGACTAGACGCAAGGTCGGGCTAAGATTTGATTCAAATTGCATGGAGTGAGCTACGTGCAACACTATGTCTGTCAAAAGTTTGAGCTACTCGAGGGGGTGTGTTTTGATATGGTAAACCACCCAAAGGACTACGCTACTTATTTCGATTGCAGAGTGATCCACCAAAACGAAGTATGCTTTAGTTTTGCTAAGCTACTCGGAAGGGTGGGCTACCTGCGCTTGTTGTGTGCTGCAGTTTGTCCCACTCAGGGCAGTTGTCCTGCCTAAAACTCGCGCCCAAAGATGACAGTTGCTTGACAGCCCGATTCAGACGGCACCCAACGAAAGTCGGAAGGCGTCTAGGACAAACGGAAGGGGTTGGTACTTGAACACTGAAGCTAACCTAGCGGGGTAGTATAACATAAATATCCCTGTAAGTCAGACATGAGGTGCAGGTTGGATTCCTGCTCGCCATAGGGACGTCGTTGAACTAGAGTACCAAACCCCAAGCTGAGTCCTTCCGATTATACGGATTTGGTTATCCATCTGCTCAGTCTATGCATTCACCTGTGTTTTCGTTCATAACTTTCTACTCCTTATCCAAAACGACGGGGACGTCACTTAATGAGGTCTGGGAGGACTGTCGTAGCAAACACCCTTACAAGGGTATTTGCCGTCCTTTTAAAAATCACACTGGGTGCATCCTTGATCAACGAAACGCGCCGATAAGGTAAAACCCGTCAGGGCGCTCACCTTTGCAGCCTCGCTCTTGGCGAAACTCCGAGTCAAATACGACCGGTTTAGASAGTATGTGGGGAACTCGTTATCGCGTTGCACTGCGAAGTGACCGTTAGTCCTCGACAGTATGAGGGCGGCGGAAGACATCAAAGTCATAGGATCTAGTTACCTTTTCTGTAGTTTTCAATTTGGTTATGTTTTCTTTTATTTTATAAAAACTGACTACACTCCATGAGCCGGCTCAGCCTCTCAYGGGTACGTCACAAGGAAGATGAAGACCCTGCCTTGAGCACACGCAGGAGGAATGTGTTTGGCGATGCATGGAAGGGTGTGGCGTTGGCAAACCTGGTATGGGGGAAAGTCGAAAGCTTGGCAGAACATGTCGAACGCTCGACGACCGGCCTACCAGGTAGCTACAATCCTAGGCGCAGGTGGTGTCTCGGCGTCTTCTGACGGCCAAAAGGTTGGCCGGTARGCCAAGGCGGAGGCCTGGTTTGTGCAGGTAGGACCAATCACGGTCCCGCGAACTATTCATATGCGGGTTCGCGCCTACCTAGTTCAGACGTGGGCTTTGCCCTATTGGTTACGGTACCGGACTTTCGAGCGACAAGTTTGGGGCACGAGATCAGCAAGCAGCGATGGAGCGAAGGAGTGTAACCGGCGGAGATTGAGGGGTTGAGGGTCTTAAGTGACTACCCCCCTTGGTTTTGCCGGACGGGTCCAAACCTGGGTTCGACTGGCAAGACCAAGAGGGCGTCGGCAGATCCTCGTCCTCTTCAATTCTATTATTTTTATTTTTATTTTATTGATTTATTTTTTTATTTTTTTATTATTATTATTATTTTTTCCGTTTTTCCGTCCATTGACCAGGCCAGAAACTAGCTCCGGGACCGACGGCGAGGAAGTATCATGAGGGCGGCTGAAAAGAACCTTGGAAAAAGAGTAAAGAGTGCTGGACATTGCTGAGCGAGGGGCGAATGGAGGGAAGTTGTGCCTCCCCCACCTAGGCAGAGGCGGACGGCAACTAAGTCGCTGCCAGCCTTGACTGGACGTGGGGTGCCTGCCAGCATGAGTTGCTGTGACCGGCACTATAGTGGGGAACGATTGAAACCCCCCCACGGGTGGCCGTCACGACAGTCGAGGACCTTGAGCACGCGACTCTTTCGGCGGCCCCGTTCGGGTTCCTGCGTGTTCGAGGTGCTGGCGAAGTTCCTCTATCCTGCCCGTTTTGAAGCGCGGTCCGAAGATTCCGGATTCAACGTGCATGCGAGTGGTGGGTGATCAGCCCACGAGGAGGAAAAAGCCTGAGTGGCGGGACCAACACGTGCGGGTGCACCATCCGCCAACCACGTTTTGTTGTGAGAGGTTTGAGCGTGAGCAGTCCTGCGGGATCGGTGCCGCTTGGCCAAGCTCAGCTGGTACACCAGCAGACTGTTGAAAAACAGTTTTGTGGGACTGATACCATTGGGCCCAGCTCAGTCAGTATACCCGCGGACTGTTGAAAAACAGTTCTGTGAGATCAGCCACAAGGCCAGGCTGAGCAGGTACACCCGCGGACTGCTGAAAGTAGGCCGTGGGACCAGCACCCGTGGGCATAGCGCARCTGGTACACTCGCAGGCTGTTGATAAACAGGCCTGTGGGACCAGCACCCGAGGGCATAGCTCAGCTGGTACACTCGCAGGCTGTCGAAAAACAGGCCTGTGGGGCCAGCACCCGTGGGCATAGCTCAGCTGGTACACCCACGAGCTGTTGAAAAATAGTTTGTGGGAACAGTGCCACCRAGCCTAGCTCAGGTGGTACACCCACGAACTGTTGAAAAGCAGGCCCGTGGGACAGATGCCAGTGGGCCTAGCTCAGTTGGTACACCTGCAGACTGTAGAAAAACAGTCCTGTGGGAACACCACCTGAGCAAGCCCGGTTAGTATACCCACGAGCTGCTGAAATACAGATTTGAGCTCGAACTCCACTGAAGATGGGTGAGTGGGAGCTTGCGGTGCAAGCTGAAATACCRCTACTTTATTTTTACTTTTTTTTCTTAAATTTGTTTTTTTTATTTTTTTTATTTTTTTGTGAGGTGGAGCTGGGACTTTGCCCATGCCTCTCGGTCCAAGGTGCGGGTGCTCGTGGCCTACCTGATTCAAGCAAAAGACACTATCAGGTGGGGATTTTGGCCGAGTCGACACGCCTATACGGGCATAGCATAATTGTCCCGAAGTGAGTTCAATGTACATGCAAGCTGGTGGGTGCTTAACCCGCAAGGTGAGAGAAATCCTAGGGGCAGAAACCCCTCGGTGTGTGCACTTTCAGCCAGCCACCACCTGCTAAAAGTTGAGCATGAGCAAGCATAAAACTCGAAAGATGATAAACTATGCCTGAGTTGGGCTACAAGACCAGAAAAAAACTGGCCAGAAGGGACTCGCGCGGGGGCTCGCAGCGATACAGGCGCGCACATCGTCCGTCGAACTGTAATATAGGGGCAAACGACTGATGGGACCAGCCGACAGCTGATCCCCCTTTGAAGTAGCAGCTAATCCCCCCTCTGAAGCAGCGCATAGCAGGGCCGATGTACGAATTGTTCGTTCAGGCCCTAGTATAGAGGCGGAAGACTACCCAACCTGATAGTAGTCCGTTCTCTCTGAAGTTTCCGCCGGGGTAGCTGGGTCTTGTCAGATGGGATTTTTTGTCCGGACTAATTGAACGCTAATGAGCAGCGCTAGTGGGAAACGTGGGCGCTAGCGGGAACGGCGACGAGGAAGAGGGTGAATGGAAGAGAGAAGAAGGGARAAGGGAGGAAAGGGAGAGGACGGCGGAAGATGAAAAAGAGGGTAAGTAGTAGACAAGGGGAAGAGGAACAGAGCGGGGTAAAAGAAAGTGCATGAACATTGGCCGGGATCTAATCCAGGTACGTAAAGACAGGTACGGGGAAGTGACGAAGGCTGAAGGTGAAATGGGTAYGGCGGAAGCAAAAAAGTCATAACTTACCGATCTCTTGACGGATCAAGGCGGGATAAAGGACATGACTAAGGTTTTGAGGGAAGGCGAACTCGAATCTGCGGTAGGATTAGGTAAAGAAGTAGAACAGGAGAAGTGCGCGAAAGAGTCGGAYGAAGGGGAGAGGAGAGAGAACAAGGAAATAAATTCTGTAGCTCGTTCATTTCTCAATGAAATCAAGCGAGCAAGGAACCAAAATAGAGGTTTTCAGACGTTCTGAGTCAAGTGGCAGCGGCGGATTTTCAGTACAAACGACGGTTTCGCCGGTATAAGCTGACAAGGCTGCGCGGGGAGTAATGATGATGCACCTGCCCACATTCTAGTGGGAGATTCTTTCTCACTATGTATGCTTATTGAGTGATAGGAAAGGAGCCAAGTCATTCTGTCAGGATCCCGGTGTTGTTCATTGGCTGTTCTTTCTGTGCTYGTGCTGGTTCTTCATAAGTGGTCAAGAACATCCCATCTCGTCGAAGCCATCGTCGAAGCCGAATTTGTTG